ATTATTATTATTATTTTTTGGTCGGCTGGCCGGTACAGGGATTGAACCCTGGACCTTGGTGTTAGCACCACGCTCTAACCAACTGAGCTAACCAGCCAGCCCCCCACTTAATTCTTTTTATTAATTTTTCGGTTTTTTGGCAGCTGGCTGGTTTGGGGATCTAAACCCCTGACCTTGGTGTTATCATGCTCTGAGTGAACTAATGGGCCAGCCGAATTACCACTTAATTTTTAATACTACCTTACAGGAATATGATTTCGGTTCTCTTCCATGAGCAAAATAAGGTTCTCAATAGAACTAAGTCCAACATGTGTATGGTCTGAAGGTAAATAGCCAAGGAGTTCAGTCCTCAGTGTGAGACAGCAAGAGCACAACTTTCAGGAGTAAAAAGCTATGGTTTAGATTTTTTTTCATTGGATTTTTGGATTGAGAGTATTGTGATTTTAATTTTGCAAAGCATTAAAATCACCTCTGTATCCAATATATTCACATGGAGAGTCAGCAAAGATAATTCAGATATTTAGTTTTCTGTAGGACTTGCTAGTGATAACGCTATGATTCAGCAGAAAAATAAAAATTGCTTATGAAGGCAACAAAATTCACAGAGGAACCCAAAGTGCTAAACTAGCAACAGATGTTACAAATAAATATGAGAACATAATTTGGAGACTGAAATGTCTGAGAACTGTTATTGTAGGGTTAATGTAAGGTTCAAATGAATTCTTAAAAACAAAAGCTGCTTGAAGAACAAAAACATACAATGTGTGCTGGCTGGTTAGCTCAGTTGGTTAGAGCACCGTGTTGATAACACCAAGGTCAAGGGTTTGGATCCCTTACTGGCCAGCTGCCAAACAAAAAAAAAAAGTACAATGTATATGCAAGATGATATTTTTTTGAGGTAAATATTTAGAAGCAGAGGAATAGAGTACAAATAGATTCCTTACAATTCTGCAGCCCTCATATAAAGAAATCTTGAAATATGCATAACCTTTAAAAACATCACAAACAAATTTTAAAAAATTCAGGAAAGGGAAACTAGGAAGTGTGGAAAAATCCAAAGAGAATCAAAAAGAACTCACAAGTATTTAGTGATGTTTAAGACTGGAACCCAGTACTATACCCCTACACTCCAAATTTCAGGACAGAATCAGGTTGTTATGGCATCCAGACTTCTCATAAATGCTCCCGTCTCCCATGGTTTGTTCTAGACTGACCTAACCCGATCTACAGCACTCTATCCTTCTTCATGTACAGTCACTCTGAGGGCAAATGAGGAGAAGGACCTGCATGACACAGTGGAACTGGCCTTAATGAGGCCTGCATTCCTGTCTCTAGGCTGTCACCAAGAAGTGGGCAACAGTGATTAGCAAAGCTCAGGCCACTGCCATGGTCAGTGCAGTGTTAATAAAACCAGCTGTCGTGTCAGATAGAGGTAGTCAAAACTAACGTGCATTTCTATCTCTGCACTAGGAACTAGAAAAATTTTCTTGGAGGGCTGGGCTTTGCTTTGGTTTCTCACACATTAGTTTTGGTGTTGTCAGGAAATCAAGTTAACTCCAGGGTTGCAGTGACACTCTAAAATTACTGGAAAATTGCTAAATGCACGACAGAGAAAGGTTTCAGGTTCCAGCTCAGGATGATGGAACCCTGGGTCTCAAATGATATTTCAGTTCAGGAATGTTTGTAAACTGGGTCCCTTGACCCAGGCAGTCACTTGTCACTTAAGAAGACAATTGCAGAGTGCTCTGGATAGCTTTGACAGACACTTGTATTCTTATACACATGTTCTTATGCACATGACATGGTTATTTAGTTTGGGTTTTAATTACATTTTATGACCAAAGTCCAAAGAATTCTCATTAAGTTTGTGTGTACGTCCCACCCCCACCTCCCCACTACTGTACAAAGGGAGAGATCACAAACTGATACACATCATTTATTTACTTAGGTGTTTAAAACAGCCAAAAAGATTTGAGCAAGAGTGGAGATTTTTGACAACCGATTAAGAAGTATAATTTACCACATTTTCATTATAAGATTTCTAAAGAAAAACCTCAAACAAAAATGCCAAATCATATATAAATGTTAGGAGCTTTCGCAGAAGTATTTTGAACATTGTTTTCTGCTTCTTAAGATCATTGATGTTTGATGCTAATACCCCGAAAGCAGTATTAAATCAAAAACAGAAAGGAATCTACGCAACACGTACAACATTTCACTGTATTTTTGGTTGCATTTTATTAAAAATTCAAATTTAGACATACTGCTTAAATTTCTTTGATTTAGAAAAATGACTTATTTTCCTGTCCTTAGTCATGCTTTCAATGCCATCCCTCTTAGCTCCTTGAAAGAGCACCGACATTCTTTCCCAAATCCTTAGCATTTCATGTGTGTTCATATTCTACGAAACACAGCAACTCTACTACAATTTTGAAAAACATAGGCTTTGTAATCTTTCTGCTCAAGGTTTAATCTTAATCTTTAATGACAGCTGTATTCTCAACTTAATAAAACATTTGACAACTAAAAAAGATAAATGTGCTTCCAAAGCCACTATTAAACTCTAGGTTAGGAATTTGATACTCCCCATTACTGTTCTGTTTCGGATCCTCAGAACATAAGTTTGCAAATTCTTCTCCCTCTCCCAGTCAACACAAAAGCAGAATTAGACAGTTTATAGTAGGCAATAAACAAATTAGGTTTTCAGGAACAAATCACCAATATTTATTTATTTGGTACGGTGATCCAAACCCTTGACCGTGGTGTTACAACACCAGACTCTAACCAACTAAGCTAACTGGCCAGCTCTCCAATATTTATTTAAAAAACAAACAAAAAACTTACTACAATGTAAGCATTAGTAAAATTTATGTGATGTTGGAAGGAATTTAATATATTCTCTATGGTTTAAGGGTACCAGATGCTGGACTTTTAAAACAGCAGTTATGCTTCAGCATATTAGTATTTTGTTTATATTTCTGTTCATGATGCTTCTTCCTCTGATTCACCTGGAATCAATGAATCTGAAAAACAAAAAGATTCTTTAAGGACCTAATCAATGTTGGGTCCCACATTACAAAATTAGCAAGCATCAATAACATTGACGGGGATGAAAATACAAAACTGAAGTAATGTCCTGAGTTTACTTTCACAGTTTACTAGGCTCAAGTTTCATGTTGAATGATTATTTGGAAGACTCACTAGCTGACATGCAAAGATTTTCTGATTTTAAATTTGAGCACCCCCAAAGCATAAACAGGTCACCTCCAGCCACAATTTAAAAAATACTCAAGCTTTTAAAAACAGTCATTTGTAGCAGTACTTAGTGTCCAACAGAAACCACTCCATCTGCTAAACAATATCTCGACTGCAAAGCTTCTCTTACTGTTGGTGGATAGACAATGACATGGTACAGTCATTATCACCGTGGCAACAGTACCCAGGAAGTATCAGAGGAAAATTGCACATGGAACCGCTGGCTCTTGAGCAGGCATGCCTCAGCTTCCTCCGGAGTATGCTTTTTCTGCAAGTCTGGTGTGCTCTAGGGTACCACCAACCCAGTGCAGCTCCAAGACTACAGATCCTACTGCGGTTCCACTGAGTCCTACTCTTTTGAATTCATTGGTTCGAATATGAACACCTACCACGTTCCAAGCACTGTTCTAGGCACTGAGGATACAGCAGTGAGTAAAGCCGAGTGTCTGGGAGGGAAATCAATAAACAAGCTAGTAAATATATACCAAGCAATGATTAGTACAATGGAAAAAAGAAAGCAATGGGCCTACATATGCTTTCTTTCTCTTCTCTGTGCCTGCACATTGCTTTGCATCTGCTTCTGATTTTTCACGCCAAGTACAAGCTTTGGGCACCAGGTCTCCCTGGAGATTCCGCGCTGGCACCGCACCTACTACCCAGCGGCCCATCTCAGTTCCCCATTTAACAAACCTTTCCTCGGTCTAGGCCCGAGGGCTTACGTGGGTTGGAAGGCTAACGAGGGCCGAACCTCAGAGAAGATCACACAGGCAAAAGCGCTCCACAGACTTTTAAAATAAAAGTTGTTCTAAGGAAACAATCGTGAGCCAGAAGCCCCAGGGCCTCAGCTCCCACCTCGGTCTAGGCCCGAGGGCTTACGTGGGTTGGAAGGCTAACGAGGGCCGAACCTCAGAGAAGATCACACAGGCAAGAGCGCTCCACAGACTTTAAAAATAAAAGTTGTTCTAAGGAAACAATCGTGAGCCAGAAGCCCCAGGGCCTCAGCTCCCACGTGGGCGGCGGGGCCCGGGGGATCCTGGACACAAGGCGCCGCGAGCCTGGGTGCTGGAACCTCGGGCAGCCCCGGCCGGACTCCGCTCCCCGCCACGACGCATTCGGCCGCGGTCCTCCGGAGGCAGCCGGCGACGCTCACCTAAGCCGGGAGGGGCGGACGCGGGCCTGCCCTAAGCCCGCTAGCTGACGCGGGCCTACCCTAAGCCCGCTAGCTCCTGGGACACGGGCACTACGCGCCTGCCCATAGAGTTGCCGCGGCAAACTCGACGGCCGCTGACCCCGGAACCGGAACCTCTATCTGGAAGTGACCCTTTCCCAGCGTTCCGCGGAACGGGCGAAACCCCGCCCAGCGCCTTTGCCAGTCATCCTGTAGTATCCCAACCGGCCGGGTCAGGTCTCGGGAGGACAGTGGTCTTCCCGCTCATTTTGCTTCTCGTTGCCCAGCAGCGTGACCCTGATGGACAGCCACTTTCTCCAATCAACTGACAAAGCGGTTGCCCACGGCCAATAGTAAGGCAGTAGGATAAGGCTCGTGTACAAGGACCACCTCCCACCTGTCGGGGCGGGGCGAGCAACTCGATTGGTATTATCGAGTCGTTGCCGGCCAGTGTTGTCCAATCACGGAGAGCAGTTCGGAGCTGGCCCAATGAGCGTCTCCGGAGGGCGGGCCGGGCCGCCGCGGGCTGGGGGGAAGGCTCGGGTAGCCTGCCGAGATCCCGGGCCGTCGAGGGTTCCGGCGAGCGTGCGGGCATGAGCTGGGCCCTGAGCCGAGCGGTGGCGGCTCTGCTCCGCTGGGGGCGCGGCGCGGGCGGCGGCGGCCTGCGGGGTCCCGGCGTAGGCCCGCCGCCGGCTGCTGGGCCGGCCATGGGGTCCTCCGCACCCGGGCCCAGGAGGGGCGCTGCACGAGGCTGCGAGGTTCCCCTTGCGGGGCTGGGGTCGGGTGGTTCCCGCGCCGGGCTGGTGGGGCGGGGGGTCTGTATGGATCAGGGGCCGTCTGGGGGCTCCAGTGGGTTCATGGTGCAGAGGACTGTTCTGGATAGAAAGACCCGGAGTAGGGCGTGACTGACTTGAACTGGGTCTTGAGAATCTGGGGCTCTGGTACTCTTGCCAACTTGGGCAGTGGGGTTAGCCCTAGAGGTTCATTGATCCCCGCTTTGAGGTGGAATAGGCATTTCAGGGTGAGTTGTCTCTGGCTGGGTTCGAGGAAGGTGGTCAGCAGCCAGGGAAGTGGGCCAAAGAGGGAACCCACAGTAAGTACTCGCTACGAGGTAGGCACTTTTAGGGACACTTTGAGAGGGTTGGAAGCCATTGGCCTGTTTCGTGGATAGGGGACTGGTGCTGTCGATGGAGGGAGGGCCTAGGTTGCCCTTGTCTGAGCCTAGTGAAGTCAGAGGCTGGCCTCTCAGGGGTCTAGGCTCTGAGTACTAGGGACCACTCTCTGTGACTGCTACAAGGAGGGGGTTGGCACTACTGTCGGGCTGGTCTTAGCTGGGATCTGGTGGTGTGTGGGGGAAGGCATGACATTTGGTTTTAGATTCTCAAGCACAGGGGGATGGGTAGGGGCTTGGAGAGGTGTATGGGGACAGAAAAGCAGCAGTGATTCCTGGGCCCCAGGCTAATTCGCTGCCTTGAGCCTGAGCCCGAGGGGCCAGGGGCCAGATGCAGCATGGTCTGTGGCTTTTCACGGGCCGGTAAGGGAAGAAGGAGGGCCTTCACAGCGGAGTGTCTTTTATGCCCTGCTTTGTGCCAGGTACTCCACATGTGTTCTCCCATTTTATCTGAGTGGCAGAGGAGGAAGAGGCCGGGTCTGTGGCTTTTCACGGGCCGTAAGGGAAGAAGGAGGGCCTTCACAGCGGAGTGTCTTTTATGCCCTGCATTGTGCCAGGTACTCCACATGTGTTCTCCCATTTTATCTGAGTGGCAGAGGAGGAAGAGGCCAGGCACATGGGTAAGGATTGTCGGGGTGGGTGGAGAAATGGAAAGGCTGTGCCCGTTCCTTCCTGGGGAACCCTGCATCCCAGTTTGAGACTTTCAATCACCAGAACCTAGTGCTCTTTAGGCACAGTGTGCTAAAAAGAGGCGTCAGGTTCTATGTCAGGATGGACTGTTATTCTACAATTGAAATTACTAATCAGAGTCATTTTTAACATTGATGGAAAAGGCTGGTGTTGTGGAAAGGCTTTGGGTTGGAATCCTTTTCTGTGGCCAGTCAACTGTACAACCTTAGACAACTCACGTAATTTCATTTTCCTTTTCTGTAAAATGATGATCAGACCCAACTTGGCAAAGCTTTTGTGAGGAAGAAAAAGTGAAAATTGTAGAAAGTACATGTCACCTTATCTGGCATAGAAAGCACCCAGTAAATGGTAGCTGTTTTGTTATTAATACATTATGGTTTTCAAAGTATTTTTTCCCAGATTATCTAATCCCTACAAAACTGTTGGTGATAGCCTATCCTGCATTTGCTATCTGTGGTGGTTTTGGCGGGGGGAACCTAGGAGGTGTGTTAAGCAAGTAGAGAAGGCAGGTTAACATTACCATGTATATATGATATTGCCATTATGCTCACGATCCTTTTGTCGTCCTGGTCAACTAGAATGCCGCCAGTTGCTAGACTCTGGGTTTTATCATGCACAGGGAGATCTGTGGTCTTCATTGAGAGGCAGCTTCTCTGCCTGAAAGATAAGATAAAAGTAACTTCTGCAGTCTTTCAACTGGGACCTTGCAGCAGGTCCCTGCAAATTGTCAATATGGCATTAGTAAAAGTTGTATTGTTAATATCTTCTTAGTATAAAGTTTTGAGAGCTGTTGGCTTGTGAATTTATGTTCCCCTCTTTAATATGACGGGAGAAGTAACGTAGTGTAATATGGCTAATAAATTGAAAGTACGAGCAGAAATAAGAATGGCAGCTGATAGCATTTATGTTTCTGTCTTCCGTCTTACAGTCTGGCTTCTGATATTATGTTCTTAAATGTTCAAACAACAGCAACAGGAATTTAATCCTTAAGTTTCTTGGCCATAGAGTTTTATAACATTACTATTTTGGTTAATAAATGCATTGCATATACAAGGGTACTTCAAAAAGTTCATGGAAAGAGTCGTGTTATCTTTTAATTCTATTTTTCCATGAACTTTTTGAAATACCTTTGTATATTAAACATAGCATACACCTCTTTTGTTGCTTAGAAAAGTAAAGATTAGTGTTAAGTGTAAACATTCAGACTGGGGCGGGGTGGTGTAAGCATGTTTTCGCGATGGGGATTAGTTTAGCCAGTGTAAGACTAAAACGTTGCGAGTCTTTATCTCTTTGCTCTCTACACCTTTGAGTTTATCAGGAAAGATCAACACGCTGTCCGATGCTTGCTTTTGCCCGCCAGAGTATGTGCACCTTTCCCAGAGCCATGGTCACGTCTAGTGACAGGAGCGGTGCTCCTGCAAAATTGGCCTTTCCTTTTCTCTTGTGCCAGAAAAGACTGGGCTTCACTAAGTTCTCAAGCCCTAGGAAGACACTGTTTTCTAGTTTGGGGCTCTGGGCTCCAGGGAGTGTGATGCAGAGAGGTCCTGAGACTGTAACCCAAGGAACAAAGGTAACTGAGAGGGAACATTGCGCTCTGGCCTTTCTCGGAGCCTTCTTGTCCTTCTCTTTTATCTGGAGTACACTTGTGAAGGCAGCCACAGAGGGTCAGGTCCCGGTGGACTGACATCACCATTTACTAATCCTGGTCCTAACAAAGAAATCCTTTATATTCAGTTATTAAAGTAACGTGCTCATGGAGGAAACTTGGATAACACTGAAAAGTATACAGAAAATGAAAATCACTTGTAATTCCATGTAAATCATTATTGACATTTGGATCTAGTTCCTAACAGTTTTTTCAAAGACATAATTGAGATCATGCTTGTCTATACATCGTATTTTGCCCTCCAGAGAGCCGGAAACATGTCTTATTAAACTGCCTGTGATGCTCTGTGTACTGTTTGTGCAAAGCAAGCTTTCAGTGAGTGTTTTAATGAATAAGTAATGCTTCTTTATTTATCATTATATTGCAAACTCTCTTCCATGCTCTTTCTTTTTGTTTTGTTTTTCCTGATAGCTGGCTGGTACAGGGTTCCGAATCCTTTGACTTTGGCGTTATAACACCATACCAACCGATCTCTTCCATGCTCTTAACAACATTATAAAACTCTTGTAAATTTCTTTTTTTTTAATTGAATTATAATTGATTATACATATTTTGGGGGTTCAACATTGACATGTTGATCAAATCAATATTATTAGCATATGTATCACTACAAATCGTACTTATTCTTTATGCCCCTTATCCAATCTTTCCCCATCCCCCACTCCCTCCCCTCCCCACCTCTGATAAAACTCTTTAAAATTTCTGCTTATTTAGATCACCATTGCATTCTTTGCATCAGGAACGATGTCTGATGGAATAAGGACTCAAGTGTTTGTTGAATAAATAACCATTATCCTATTGTTGAATGTTTAAGCATTTGAGAATATGCTCAACCTTTCCAGTATCAGGGAATTTGAGGCAATAGTAAAACACCTGTCACACTGGCAGACATTAAAAATTGAATGTCTGATGGAATAAGGACTCAAGCGTTTGTTGAATAAATAACCATTATCCTATTGTTGAATGTTTAAGCATTTGAAAATATGCTCAACCTTTACAGTATCAGGGAATTTGAGGCAATAGTAAAACACCTGTCACACTGGCAGACATTAAAAATTGGATAACGAGTTGTATATATGTGCTTGTGTGGTGGACATGTTATATGCTGCAGATGGGAGTATAAAATGGTACCAGTGTTTTGGAGGAGTAACTGTCAGTACGCAGACAAATTCTTGGTGAGCAGAGCCTGAGACCCAGCTGCTTCACTCCTAGGTATATATTTGAGAGCTAGGGAACAGCAAAGGACCAGGGGTAAATACTTCAGGTGTTGTGGGCTGTATGGTCTTGACCACATCTGTTCAACTCTATTATAGCATGAAATCAGACATAGACTATACATAGATGAATGAGCACGGTTGAGTT